GTCAGCCTTTCTGCTCCTATGATGCTGCTTGGCCTGCTGTGTTCATCCAGCTCTGCACCTCATTGAAACTGTTCAGGATTTGACCTTACACAGCAGGTCAAAGACCACAAAATGGCTGGGTCATGATGCACGTCTCCTCGTGTGATGTCACGTGTTGTGTCCCACATCCCCTTTCTCTCATTTTTCATGGGATGTGGACATCATTAGCTGGGTCAGCTCATACTGTAAATTCTTAGTTGCTCGGAGCGGGGAGTTAAGACTCAACTACATTGCCTTCGGTCGATAATTAAATGTGGGCCAGATAGGGTTTTACAAATCAACAATGGTTACGTTGCCGTTATTAAGGTAGTTTTTAATTTCCAAGCTTTTCTTGTGAATCTGCCATGATGGGACTTGAACCAGTGTCTCCAGAAGAATAGCCTGGGAACCTGAATTCCTCGTCAGTGACTTAACAACCGTGGCAATACTTTTCTCTCTTCGTACAGATATTTCTACCTGAGGAATAGTGACAACAGCAGTAAGCACAGCTTATGCCATTGTCTTCTTAAAGGGAAGAAGCTAACATCAAATTATAATTTCAAATTTGTTTTCCTTTCAGTTATCTGCTGGCCAAAAAGATTTTGGTAATTCTTAGCAAAAACCAGTCGGTTACAACTGAAAATTACTTTTCTATTGCTATCCGTATCAGGAGCTGAAACAGATTTCTCTTTGCACATGTAGCAATAGCATTGTGCCTGTCCACTGCCATTTGATTTCACAGGGAGATAACAATACAAGACAAAAACTGCTCAAATATTATCCCATTAGATGGCATTAGAGGAATCATGGCTTCTGTGCCATTTCTTGAGGTTAAAAGATTTAATGATATTGAAAAACGCACGACTGGAGTACGACAAGTGAACAAGCTGTTCTTGTACAGCGCAGATTTAAAATATTCAAGCGGCCAAGGCAGTAAAATGGGATTAATACTTACACTCATGCTGCTCATATGGAGGATAAGAGAGTCGCACAGAGATCAATATGAAGAACAGAAAGAGAGGCCACGCAACCTCTATCAGCAGCTGAAACTGAAAAAAAGAGATAAATATTATAACCATCGAAGAGATGGTTTCTTCAAAACCCCTTGTGCAACATTTTCGCTATAATTTCTCATGCAATTACTTAAAGAACATGATACTATTTTCCCTCCTTTCCCACAGGAGCTGTTCTCCCCACATGTCAACTTCTGAAGGGAACAACCCTTACTTAGAGATGATTCCATGGGAGGCAACAGTTCACAAAGTATTTCTTCCAAGCACCCAAACTTTACATGAGCTTGAACATTTGAGAATTTGCAACTTAGTGAAGAATGCCAAAACATTGGACTCCAACCATGATTCTACCACGCAAACATTTCCAACTGGTCCCACTGTGGAGGAGCAAAAAAGTCAAGGATTGTCACTCTCACATTTTACCTGAGAGACATACAGGCCAATTTTAGTGCCTCGTTCTTGCTCAAACAGGCCAGAGCCAATGGGCAGCATTTTCTTGAAGTAACATTGAGTAACACATCATCTATGCTGAAATCAGTTCTAGATTGCTTTCCTTTGGAGACATTATGATTAATGCATTGAGGTTTTAATTAGGATTTAACATATAATCACACTTTCACAAATGTGCTTTACTTGAGGTAGTCAGTTTGAGAATGCTTTAACATCCGAGGGGTGACCTTTTAGAGGTTTATAAAATCATGAGGGGCGAGGAAAGGGTAAATAGACAAGGTCTTTTCCCTGGGATGGGAGACTCTAAAGTAAAGGGCATAGGTTAAAGGTTAAAGGGGAAAGATTTAAAGGGGACCTAAGGGGCAACTTTTTCACACAAAGGGTGGTGCGTGTATGGAATGAGCTGCCAGAAGTGGTGGAGGCTGGTACAGGGGCTTCTGCTATAAAGCGACTAATGTGTTCCTGTGAAATAACATGTGAGAGACAATCGCACTATAGAAATAATGGGGTCTATGGGAAAGTGGGGGGAGATTGGGGCAGACCAACAAAAATAAATTCCTCAAAATGACTCAAAAATCTCTCAAAAGCTTAACACAAAGGATAGCACAGTTTGAAGAAACATTTAATTCACATGTAATAATGAAATAACAGTAAATTTATCACCTTGGAAAAAATGTCAAGATGACTTGTTAGGGTAGGAGGTTCAAAGGTACCTCTGTCGTTAATACAGGGGCTGAGGGTTGTCATCATCGTCATCATCATCATCATCATCACCTTAAGGTGCAGTTGTGGTTGCAGGGTTAGGGTGAAGTATAGTTAATCCAGAAGTGGATGTCTACGGTTCATTGTCTTCTGACTGTTTCTCAGGGTTTGGCTTAAAAAAAGACATCCAGCTTTTTCTGCTTTGCCATTTTTCTTCTTTCATGACTTTTTCGGGGACTCTTTCAGCACAAGCTCAGGACAAAGCCCGCAAACCGATCATGTGATGTCGACGTTGGAATCACGTTACAGCCAACACAAAGTTCGCGTTTTACAAATACCATTTCCCTATTCGTCAATCGCATGATAGCCAATTTGAGTTGTTGGAACATCATTATATGAGAACCCCTGTACAATATTTAAAATGCTTCTGGTGGGGTATATGAACTGGAAGGGTTTAGATGGATATGGGCCAAATACTGGGAAATGAGACTAGATTTGTTTAGAATATCTGGTCAACATGGATGAGTTGGACCAAAGGGTCTGTTTCCGTGCTGTACATCTCTATGACTCTCTGCCTCTATTGCACAATGATCTTCCTCCTAAAATAGCCTTCGTTCTTAATATGATTCATGGAAGTTCATTGAACTATTCATTAATTCTAATATTGTATTTTTTTTTTAAATGTTGATGGCGTCACTGATTAGGCCAGCATTTAATGCCCATAACTAATTGACTTTCAAAAGATGATGTTGAGCCATCTTCCTGAACCACTGCAATCAATGTGGTGCAGGAGGGCCAAAAATGCCACTATAGAAGGAGTTCCACACTCAGTGACACTAAAGAAATGGCAATATATTTCCGAGTTGAAGATGATGAACAGCTTGGATGGGAACTTGCAGGCAGTGGTGCTTCTATGTATGCCCTGAACTAGGTGGTGCATTTTGTGGGTTTGGAAGGTGCTGTCACAGGATCCTTGATGAGTTATTGCAGTACACAGAATCATAGGATGTTACAGTACAGAAGGGGGCCACGCGACCCATTGTCTCTGTACTGGCTCCCTAAAAAGCTGTGTGGCTGGTCCAATCCTCCAAATTCATTGCTTTCAAATATATATCCAGCTCTCTTTGAAACCTACCATGGAATCCACCTTCACCACTTTCCCAGGCAGCACATTCCAAATCCTAACAACTCTCTGAATAAAGATGTTTCTCCTCATCTCACTCCTAGCTCTCTTGCTGACAATCTTGAAATTGTGACCCCTAGTTACTGACAAACCAACTAGTGCATCTTGTAAATGTACACACGGCTGCTACTGTGCATCAGTGGTGGAAGGAGTGAACGTTGAAGGCTTTGGATGGTGTGCCAATCAAGCAGGCTACTTTATGCTGGATGGTGTCAAGCATCTTGAATATTGTAGGGGCTACACTCATCCAAGCAAGTGGGGAGTACTCAATCACATTTCTGACTTGCACCTTGTAAACAGGAGACAAGATTTGAGGAAATAGGAGGTAAGTTGTTCACTACAAAATTCCCAAATTCCCCCATGCCACAGTGCATATATTGGCAGGTCCAGTTCAATTTCTGGTCAATGGTAACCCCAGGATGCTGATAATGGTGTATTCAGAAATGGCATTGCCATTGAACGTCATTAGGTGATGGTTGGATTTTCCCTTGCTGAAAATGACCATTGCCTGCACTTGTTTGGCATGAATGCTACTTGCCACTTGTCAGACCGTGTCCTGATGTTGTCCAGGTCCTTTTGCACACAGCAAGCTTCAATATCTGAGGCATCACAAATGGTGCTGAACATTGTGCAATTATCAGCAAACATGCCCACCTCTGACCTCATAAAGGAGGGAAGGTCATTGGTGAAGCAGCTGAAGATGGTTCAATCTAGGATATAAATATCAATTCATATCAAGATGTGACATGTAATATTACGCACATAGGTTGCACCTAGACGGTCAGTTGATTCAGACAACTGGCTAGTGGGCTCAGTGAGATTTTGATAAATAGTACTCCATTGCATATGTGATGAAGATTAAATATGGCAGGTCTTTGGAAGAATTAAAGCAAATGAGAAGAAAAACCTTTGAAATCTGCTACTTTGCCATTTTAGAAAATAAAAATTAAATAATGGATTGGGTGTGAACAAAACAGGATCCTAATAAAAAAAATCTGATTAAAAAAACCGGAAAGTATGATATAATAATAATGCAATAATCCACCTACTCACAATTATATCAAGAATAATAATCAGTGAATCAAATATACAATCATATTATTTTTCAACTGAAATTGCCTTTGTTAACAAGTTTATTTTTACGAATGCAAGCAACCAGGAAACAAAGACAAGGAGTACCAACAATATATGAGCAGTTGTCCATTGTGGTGCTATGTTACTCCAGCTCTTATTCATTGCCTGAAGTGAAGAATGTGTGCCCTTAAAATAGTTACATACAATTATAAAATTAAATGTGTTATGCCCAACATTTTTCTCCAACACTAACCTGCGTCTTGTACATAATTCTATTCAACTCTAAGTCAAGCAGTTTTTTGTAACATTTAGCAAATCTGATTGAACATTCAAATCTCCTTTAATTCCTCTCTACATAGAATGAAATAACATCTCTAAGTGCAATATCGATCAGCTGTAATAACTGAATTTCAGTAGATAATAACTTGCTCTTGTTCCTAAAATAGCAAACAAAAACATCCAAAGTTATAATATGATATTCTATCCGTTATAAACAGTCAGACCTTAACTCAAGAGGCCATCTGACAGCTGACTGTTCAATTCTGAGGCATTAATTGCTACAAGTAAAATAGATTGCTCTTAACTTTGTTGTGTTCTGAATCGAATCCAAGGTGAGAACTCCATAAAGGTCAATTGGGTTACTAGTGGTTTAATTTAATTTCTAGTTGTTTGACCTGCTCCCCATTCCACTTGCATGATGGCATTAGATAGCACTAGGCCATAGATGTCAGCTTTAAACTAGTGTTCCTATCTTTGTGACAGTTCTGATGGTGCATGTTGCAAAACGGTAACTTGTATACATCAACTCCCTACACAATCATTCAGAAAATAAAGTTAGTGGGAACTCAATCCACGCGTGCAATAGTCCTGATTCTGTGGTTAGCAGTGAACAAATGATACTTGTCATTCATTCCATTTACACCCAGCCAGAGATCTTCTGTGGGTTTTGACTGTAACTTGCAGTAAATAGAGTTTGAAGAAGCATAACAGCTTCTTCAGGGAATCTGAAATCTGTGTGAAGGGGACAAGCAAGGCTTGGATGAAGGATCTATACTGATTCAAGCAGAAACTAGAAGAAGTGCAGATTTGAATATCCCACTGACTGTATTTGCTAACATTGCCATATGTGCACTGTTTGCTGCTTCAAATCACACTTGTACCAATTTCAGGGTTTGTGTTGAATGGTGGGCAACAGATTTGGATTGGGGGGAGGGGGGAGAGAGATTGAGACTGAGGGTGGTGGGATATCTGGGATCTGGGAGAGAACCAGAGGGAAGGGTGGTGGAGAGAGTTGCGAGATGGGGGAGTGCAAAAGGAAGACAGAGAGGTAGAGGTTATTGAGAAGATGTTTCTTGTAAAAGATCTTTCCTTCTTTTGCAGTTGTTATGAAAATTGAGGTATGATGCAACACACGCAGAAGCTTATTTGGTGCACCACAGACAATGCTTATATTCTGATTCTTATGAGGGGTTACTGAGAATGATACACTTGTTAAACAGATAGAAATGTTCCTAGATCAGTTGGGGTTTTTGGGGTTTAATAAGAAGTTCAAACAACTTCAAAGTGAAGAGTTTAAATACCAATATGGCAAGCTGGTACCAAACACTGACCTTATTTTCGACGAGGAGAATAGTCATCTTTAAAAATAGTGTTTTCCAGCATTACAAATTACTTGTATTCGTATTTAGTAGATTAATCATTCCCGGACTTTACACAAAAGGGAAATGTACCTCTATGGGGGCCTACAGCACTAAGAATATCTTGCTACAGTGCATCCAATTCCTTGTATGAGCTCACAATGTACACAATTCACAACGGCAGGTACTACATGCAAAAACATAGAGTTATCATTTCCTTGTGTTATACTAAACAATCCAATTAGATTATTCTGCCTTTTGTTGTAGGACATTGGGAATCGGGCTAACTTAATGAAAATAATACACTTCTTAGAGCAGAGGAGATAAAGATTTATAAAATCATGAAAGATTTTGATAGAATAATTAAAGGAAAATTTTCCATGGGCTGAGACGAGGGAGTCAGAGGTCATAGACTTAAGATGATAGGCAAAACAGGCAAGATGAGAAGTTTTAAAACTGTCAGTATCTTATTGTCCTGAAAAGACAAGATTAGAGTTGTTAATAGAATGGGCTCCACCTGCACAGTATTAATGTTGGATTCTCTCATATGGGGAAAATAGATGTTAATCACCATGAGGAAGGGCTGGTGGTTACAGCACAGCCTGGAATGAGATGCATTTTTCTCCCTTTAAGGCTGTAGACAAGATTTTCACAGAATCAGTGCCATAAAGTGTGTCAGAAAAAAATGGACAGCATGGAGGATACAGGAAAGGGTGGGAAGGAAGGCAATTTGATGGGCAAAATAACTTCAAAGGAGCAAGAAGAAAAATGCAATCAGATAACAAAGGCCAGTCACAATTTTCTTTTAGTTTTGCATTTTTGAAAATCAGAACTTTGCATGGAAAATATCGAAAGGGCTGCTTGGTTTCCATTTCATGTGCGGGCAGCTTTAGAGAGCGTTCCTGTTACTGAATCTGGCATGGGTTTACAGGAATTGGGAGCATGGACATTTCAGTGACAGCACCACAAATGCTTGAGTTTTGAGAACTGCAATAAGGCAACTTTGCTTTGCCAGTTAGCTCTTAATAAGCTGATTGGCAGGCCACCAGGTAACTTACTTGGTCTGTTAGTCACCCCTCTAGCATGCATTCCCCACTCTTACTCCACATGTGGATCATAAAGTGAGGAGAATTATTGCTAACCAACTACATTTGAGACAACTTGGCAATATCAATAATTTACCCATAATGTTGGCTTCAGGAAGAAAAACGTGACATAATTCACCGAAGTGTAATGAATGGTAACTGGAATTTAAAGTTAGTGCCTATTGTTGGCACAGAGTGGAAGGATTTGGCTTGACTTTGTCATTTCATTCCTCAGCTGACGAGAATGCTGATGATAGCTTGTATTCCTGATTGTAACAGGAATAAAACCCATTGCAGCATACACAGCAATCACCAAAGTCTGTGACCCCTTTGTGAATTTTCACAAAGAAGCACCACTGACCTCCTCAGCGAGCTGTTTTTGGAGCGTTGCATGCATGTATGGAAATAGTTCCACGAACAAGAATGTTTCTTTCACTAAGGCTAATTCTTGAAGGGTCGGTTAGCTCAGTTGGCTGGACAGCTGGTTTGTGACGCAGAGTGATGCCTATAGTGTGGGTTCAGTTCCTGCACTGACTGAGGTTACCGTGAAGATTCTTCTTCGCAACCTCTCCTCTGGCCTGAGGTATGGTGACCCTCAAGTTAAACCATCACCAGTTGTCTCCTCAATGGGACAGCACCACCATGATCTGGTAAGATGATGGTGACTTTTAATTCTTGAAGAGCAGAGCAGAAGTTTAAATCCATGCATTTGGAGTTGGGGGGTGGGTGACATATAATCTGGTCAGATGTGTTAAATGGGTGATTGATCATCAGGAAAATCTGCCAGGATATGTAATGGTGCTGGACTCACTGCCCATTTATGTACGAAGGCCAACCTTGCACATGATCCTTTTCAGGTTTCAAATTCCCTCAGAATGACAGGATTTCATGTAAGAGGTTCCAGAAGCTCCTGCGGAGGCAACAAGTCTTGGCTCAGGTGGCCATAACGCACAATAAGACTCAGAATAATGATCTATGCAACCAGGCTGCAATTCAGGGATGCTTGCTCACTCTCCTAGCACTCACTCACTTTGTGCCTACTACAATGCTCACAGTATCCCTGTCTTTTCTGTCTTTTCAATCCTCAGCCACACCTTAAAGACTCACAGTACACCTGTCTCGCCTTGCCGCGTAGTGCAGATGCAAAGCTAGGCAACATGTCATAGTTATCAGCAGTCATCAGTCATGCAGTCAATCTCACACCTATAGCATGTGCTAGCAGGCTGCAACTTAAACACACTAAATGTGCTTCAAATGGCTAAGTCTTAAAGTAAATGGGGAGTAGACTTCCCATTAAGTCAGTTAAGTCAGTCTGGGAATCCTGGTACAGACTGTCAAGGGCATCATTCACACATAGTTCAGGGGCTTGAGCATGGTCAGTCACCCACTAGATGTGGTCAGGGTCACTACAGTCGAGGGACTGGGCTGTAATCAGTTCCACAGGGCCAGTGCAAATAGTCAGTTAGTGAGCTGCATTGCTAGTATTCTGCACATCCTGCATGCACATGGTAGGGTGAATAGTCTCCTTCTGTGGTTGCAAGCATTCTACGATTTTGTGATTCTTTGATTTCAATGCAATGAACCGAATGGGAACAGCCTGATAAAATGCAGATTGATTTTAACAGACCCTGCTATTTATCGTCATAACTTTACTTCTCGGTATGCACTGGGCCTGACTGTGGCAGAGATCAACTCTTATAAGAGGCAGTATCAGATGGAATTATTGAGACCATTTCAATTTCCTGGACGAGCTTCAACTTCTGAAAGGGCCTAGAATGGAATTCCCCAGATTCCTTTGTCCCAAATCCACCTGGGATTGTAGCTGTTTTTTCACCGTACCCAGGAGATCGCATTGTTTCTACTTGGGCTATGGAGTGAATGATTCAAGGTGTACATTGATTGATTTGGGACTGGTTGAAGGGACAAGAAGGTTTATTTTTCAATCCATCATTGCGTGAATGTGTGTTTGCAACAAACAACAGTTACAAGGTCTTTCCTTCCATTCTGTTGACCCACTCGTGTTAATTAAAGCTTTAAAATAAAAAGTACTTACTGTCTGTCTCCGCCTGTATGTAAAATTCTTCCACAGCAGCAATCCCAGCTGCGCCCAGAAACTAGCCATATTCTCAGAGCACCTTTACTTGATTGAGCACAGAGGCTGCTTCTCGTCATGAACTGAAAGAACAAGAAAAGAACAGGAGGTTATTTCAAAATGTGACTGATGCTCTCCTAACTTTTACAAGTCCAGCAATATTCCTTCCAACCTTACCAAATAAATGAGTCATAAACAGCAACATTTTCAATCAAAATGTGTGCAAGGGTTAGATTGAGTCATCAAGTTAGTTCTGCATTCATATAGTTAAACTCCAAAGGGCTCAGAAAAGATTTACAAGGCTGTTGCTGGGATTGGATGGTTGAGCTATTGGGAGAGGCTGAATAGGCTGGGGGTATTTTCCCTAAAGCATCAGAGTCTGAGGTTTATAGAAGTTTATAAAATCATGAGGGGCTTGGACAGGGTGAATACCTAAGGTTTTTTTTTTCCCAGGGTACGAGAGTCCAGAACTAGAGGATATGGGTTTAAGGTGAGAGGGGAAACATTTAAAAGGGATGTGAGGGACAACTTTTTCGTATAGAGGGTGGTGCATGTATGGAGCAAGCTGTCAGAGGAAGTGGTGGAGACTGGTACACTTACAACATTTAAAAGGCATCTGGATGGGTACATGAATAGGAAGGATTTGTGGGCCAAATGCTGACAAATGGGACTAGATCAGTTTAGAATATCTGGTTGGTGTGGACGAGTTGGATTGAAGGGTCTGCTTCTGTGCTGTAGAACACTGTGACACTATGTGCCTAAATGTTAGCAGATCCTGATGTATATACACGCTGAAATGAACTCTGCTTTATTAGATTCTTAAGCACTGGTCAATGTAAAAGCAAACAAGTTTTACTGGCTAATTTGAAAAGTAAAATTTTATTGTCATTCTTAAAGAAAGGCTAGCATTTAGTTTCAGAGATAGTAGGAACTGCAGATGGCTTCGCAGTGGGGTTAAAATTGTTTCAGAGATAGTAGGAACTGCAGATGGGTTAAAATTGTTTCAGAGATAGTAGGAACTGAAGATGGGTTAAGGGTTGAGGCCCGAAACGTCAGCTTTCCTGCTCCTCTGATGCTGCTTGGCCTGCTGTGTTCATCCAGCTCTGCACCTTGTTATCTCTAGCATTTAGTGCTTTCCATGTCCTAAAGCCCTTTATAGTCAATGGTATACTTCTGAAATGTATACACGACTGTGATGGTTGTTTTAAAATTCACTTTTTGAAAGGAATCACTGGGTAAATCATCAATGTTGCCCATCCCTAATTGTTCCTAAGAAGATGATCGTGAGATGTCCATGAGATATAGGACATTAGGTCAAGGATTTTCATCCAGTAACAATGAATGAACAGCAAGAGGTCAGGTTGATATGTAACTTGGAGATGAACTTGTAAGTTGTGGTGTTCCCATGTATCTTATACCCTTGTTCTTCTGGATTGTAGATGAGGAGGGTTTGGAAGATAATGTCAAATGATATCTGCCCCACACATGGCAGCACAGCACTAAAAAACCTTGGTGAGATGAAATGACCCAGGATCCCCAATCACAATTAGGGCCTTTATCTCAACCTGGTACCCAGAGATCGGGTCTATAATTTTGCCACCAGTTGTCATTCCATGGTCAAATCCTCCACCATCCACATCAAATCCCACCTTAAAAAATGTCTTATTAGTATGTAATGCCAATCACAGCCAACTTGTGGTTTGGTAGGTTGCTAACTATCATCTTCATGCGAGATCTGAAAGCATGATGACTGTCCAGAGGAACTTCTGGTTAAATACAAAACAATTGTCTTCCACCATTTTGGCAACCTGATATTTAGATTCACTTTGGAGAGGAAAGTGCCTCTGATTTATTTTGTTCTTCTGGCAGATTTGCCCAGTAATTCTCTTGCTAACTATATGCTATATCTGTATCCGAATGCTAGAACTATGATCCTGGTGGTTACTCAGCTTGTTTGTCTCTGCACGAGATCCATAAGTGTTGGTAAATGAGACTAGGTAAGATTGGAATGTAATGTCTGGTCAGCACAGATAAGTTGGAATGAAGGGTCTGTTCCTGTGCCGAATGACTCTAGGACAAGATTCTTTTTGTCTCTTTGAGCGTCATTACTCACTGAAATTCCCTTTCCTGGAGAGCAGTGGATGCTGGGTTATCGAAGACTAAATTAGATACATGTTTGATATACAAACAAGTCAAGGATTATGTGCGAAGACAGGAAAGTGGTAGTGAAACCATAATCAGAATAGCAATGACTTTTTTGAATGGCAGGGCAGGCTTGAAGGGTCAAATGCTCTGTTCCTGCTCTGATTCCTATGTTCTTATTATGTCTCTGATGGCCTCCTTAATCTGAATAATTGTACACTACTCTTCATAGACATCACAGCAACTTATTCTTCCATTGTAAATCCTAATCCAGTATGTTCTACTCTATTTGTCCTCCTGTCTCCATAATCCTTGCAAACGCAGCAACTATTCTAACTGCTTTCAGTCATTTCACAAATGGGCACGAGCATGCCAGCAAAGCCTCTGCTACTATACCTTGCCTAAATGTAGTATGTGATGGAAGGTTTTAGTTGTGACACATGAGTGTGTCAATTCCTGTTTTAATTGGATTAACCAACTGGCATTTGATGACCAATAATGATCTGTAAAAATATTCTCAGGCAAACACAAGATGGCCAATTTGACAAGCAAAAACGTTTTTCCACCCAATTCCAATGACTTTTGGAAATCAGCAAGTTTTGCTGGCACTTGTGCAATTCTTTCAAATGTCATTGACGGAATGCGGAAAATGATATCAATAAGCATTGACACAGATTAATTACAAGGTATTTTGATCACTCAGTTAACATTACTGATGTTAAATGTTTCTACCAGGCCAGAGTTGGATTCATATCAGATTGGGCTTTCTGTTTCTCTCCATCTTGGGAAATGCACTTATTAATATAATCCACTTAACCAATTTTGTTGATGTGCAGTGATGAAACTTGCAAGCCCTTTCAGGCATCAAAAATTGTCATATAGTGTGTTTGATGAGATAATTGGGATCATTGGTTTCCAAAAGGCCACAGTTGTTCATCTGTCCTCCTAATTTGCTGTAGAAGAGTCTTTTACCTTCAGCAGCTACTTATACCTTATAAATTGAAACTTTTGTTAACTCGTGTAACATAAGAATGAGACGTGAGTAACGTGTTACTGAAGAATTCTATAGACTTTTGTAATAGCACATGGTATCTATATATTTGGAATCAGAGGCATCTGAGTGTCCATGATAAAGCTAAGCAATTCAGATGTAAACTGTAGCAGGCTTTCCTCATTGTCTCATGCTGCAAGAGGACTCAATAAAATGGAGATTAAGACCTTTATACCACCAAGTCACATGTTATGATATCATGAGCGTGCCTCTTAATGGTACATTGCATACGAGCTGTGACACATCACACAACAGTGTTGATCTTAATGAGGAAGGAATGAAAAATTTCATTTTTTAAACAAGCTGATTCAGGAAGGAAATCAGGAGGCAATTTTGTACATAGAGAATGATATAAACTAATCTTACCACATAATAGCTGTCAATATCATCAGTTTTCATGGAGGGTTTTTCTCCACACGATTTTGTGTATTTCCCCCCATTATCATCCCAAATTCACCTTGTTAACTAAATACCACACCCTCATGGTGCCCGCTTGTCGAATGCTAGCTCGATTCTCCCGTGAGGGGCTGAATGGCCGAATCTTGATCCAACATTTATTCTGAAAAGCCAGTGACATAACTTTAATATATTCAAATATATCTGATCCTTCTAATAAGCCTTGTTATCCTCTCACTTTCACTCCCTGCCATCTTTGTTATGAAAGTCAACTCCGTTTTTCTTTTGTTCAATTAAACAAATGGACATTCCTTGGCTGAATTGTGCAGTGTGTGCAATCCATAGGTGACCATGAACAAGAAACACAGATGTTCAAAGAGATTATCAAGTTCAAGTTTGTTAATGCAAAGCTGTAAAAGGAGGGCCGGGAAAGGCTGTCTTTACCAAACAGTCCTAAAGCTATACAGAATTTCACATGGAAAGGAGTACATTGTGATCTTTTAGCGGTCAGACCCCAGCATTGTAAGTCTTGTGATAAAAAAAGTCCCTGATAAAGACCCATATCAAAATCCTTGAACATGAAATGGACTTTGCTGAACGAGTTGCAGAATTGATTGAAGGGTTGAAGTGAAAGTGTTGCAACATGCAAGTTCGTGGGTTTGTATTTAGACTCGTCATACACAAAAGTACAGAGTCCACTTAAAACAAATCAGAAGTCATTTTTACTAAAGTTATCATTTGGATACTCAGGTGCTTTGCAAATAAATGTGATAACGTGAGGGTTATTTTCCTTGCTTATTTATTTATGGGATGTGGGTGTCATTGGTACCGTTAGCATTTATTGCCCATCTCTAATTGCCCTTAAGACATCAGTGGGGGTGGCTCAGTGGTTCAGTGGTTAGCACTGCTGCCTCACTGTGCCAGGAACCTGGGTTCAATTCCAGCCTCGGTCGACTGTCTGCGTGGAGTTTGCACATTCTCGTCGTGTCTGCGTGGGTTTCCTCCAGGTGTTCTGGTTTCCTCCCACAGTCCAAAGATGTAAATGCAGGGTTATAGGCTATGGGGGTAGGTCTGGGTGGGATGCACTTTGGAAGGTCAATGGGCCGAATGGTCTGCTTCCTCCACTGTTCAGATTCTATGTCTATTTTGAACAGCTTCTATCCATATGGTAAATGTTCACCCGCAGTACTGTTAAGAAGGGAATTCCAGGAATTTGACCCAGCAACACTGAAGGAATGGTGATATATTTCCAAGTCTGGATGTTGAGAGGCTTGGAGAGGAACTTGGAGATGGTGGTGTTCCCATGCATCTGCTGCTCTATCCTTCTAGGTGCAGAGGTTGTGCAGTTAGAAGGTACTGTCAAGGGAGCCTTCGTGTGATACTGCAGTGTACCTTTTAGATGGTACATATTGCTGCCACTATATAGATGGAGACGGTAGCGAATGTTGAAGGTGGTGGATGGAATGACAATCTAGCGGGTTGTTTTGTCCTGGATG